TACAAGGTCATTAAGATAAGATGGGGCCTGATTATTTAAGACCTTGTATGTGAGGAGCAGGATCAGAACTCCTCTCTTCACTCCATCCAGATATAAAGTGACTTTTACCCAAAAAGCCGACACACGTCAACGCTGACTCAGACGGCATGCCATTCCTATGTTCCGGGAAGGTCTCGTAAAAGTATTCTTCTGTTGAGGATCCAGACTGGACTGTAGCTCGGTTACAATGTGTCCTAAAAGAGAGAGGCATTTTTTTTCATTGTTGTTCTAACTTTGTAGCTTCTTAACACTCACATATCTAAAAGTCAGTTGAGCAGAAGCATATATAAAACTTCCAACAGCAGCTGCTGTGCGCCTTGCAGCTTGACCCACCCACCAGCGCCAGGTAGCATAGACAAGCTCTGGTAACAGAAAAAGAAGCATCCCATCACAGTTCCATGCAGCCGCCCCCTACCACAATTTCATGCGCTGCTGGAAACCAGTCACTACTTCCATGCTCTGCTGCCCCTCCATTGCTGTTTATCTTGGATAGGCACTAGGAAGCCAGTTTTTCTGTTTTCTATCCCTGCTTCGCCAAAGTGGAGAAACAAACCTTTCTATTGCTGGGATGGCAGTTTTGCTGTTTTCAATGCCTGCTTCACAAAGTGCAGAAGCAACACTTTTGGCACTGGGATGCCAGGTGCTGTCTTCTCTATCCCTTGTTCACAAAATGCAGAAGCAAGTTTTTCAACCACTGGGATGCCACCTCCTCTCTTCTCTATGCTTCATTATCAAAATGTAGCAGCAAACCTTTCTGGCACCGGGTTGCCAGCTTCTCTACAGCCTATCCTATCTATTATTTGCAAAAAACAACAATAAACATTACTGGCACAGGGTTGCCAGTTTACTGCTCTACTATACCTTCTCTGCAATATGCAACAGCAAACTTTTCTGGCACTGGGATGCCAGTTTTTCTCTGCTCTATTGGTCCTTCGCATCATCATATGTAGTAGTATGAATTGGCTTGGAGTAGGTCCTTCATATTTTTCAGAGCTGTCCACCGGACCAGATTGGAGTCTTTGGTGGTCCATTTTTGGTCTAGTCTATGTCTTAGTAATTATTCCCATGTCCTGTTTTGGTTTGGTAAAAGTCTTTGCTCATGGGTTCCTCTCTTGATGGTTTCCACCTTTGTCTTGTCTCCATTGGTATCTGTTTTCCCTCCTTTGTGATTGCCTGTCCCTCCCTCTTTGCTCCCTCATTCATTTGTGGACAGTGTGCCCTGGGTGTGTCAATAGGTATGTTTCTCCCATTGTCTGATGGCCATTCATCTGTTTTTCCTCCCATGCTAACAGTGTATGTATCTGAGTTCATCCTCTTCTGCTTCGTTTGGTTTTGTATGTTTCTCATATGGACTCTGGGTTTTTAACTTGTGTTGCTTAATTTAATAATCTTCCTTTTAAAGAACTTCTTTGAAAAAAAGTGCTGAGCAGAATTTTGGATACACAATCCATCCATTGCCTGAAAATGTTCAAAAGAGCTTATTTGTGATATCTTCAAAGGCTTGGCTTTTTCTTTTTCTAGTACCCCCTTAAATGTTCAGTGGTGTTGAAGTTGGGTAACTGTGTATGAAAGTCCATGACTAGCAGGACTCCTTGGTCGTCTTTGGTCTTCAAGTAGTTCTCAGATCTTTGAGGTTTGTTTTGGCTCATTATCTGGCTGTAGTATGAATTTTTCTCCATAAAGATGAAAACTGTTGGTGGTTATCCAAAGCTAAAAGTGAAGGTGGACCTTTCATAACAGTTAATTGGAGTAATAGGTTCTTCATTTTGACAATTCTGCATCTGATTATCTGAACAAGCCTTTAATAATAACAATAAAATAATAATAATTAATAAACTTTGACAAGGGTGATGCATTTCAGAAACTCCATTTCTATATTTATGCAACGGGAAAAACAGATCTTTTACACTGTTTTCCTTGTCCCTTTATCTCTTTGCTTGGCATCAGACTGTGTGCTCTGTTAATGTTTGTAACATCTCTGTAGGGTTATATCCAAACCTGTTGCTTTGGCTTTAAAGTGCTTGACATGGGTTTGCCATCACCCCGGCGGGTGGGCGGGCAGCTTGGACGCTAATATTTGGGAACATGATCACTGGAGATTGAGACGACGTAGGAAAAACTGATTCTAACTCGTCCGAGGATTTACAAGATATTTAGAAGACTTGATGATCAGAGGTTTTAGTTTTCTGAAAACCTGTGAACATGATAACTTGAGAGACCTCCTAAGATTTTGAAATTGAGAACATAATGTTTGAATCTCAGGAGATCAAATTTTCTGAAAATCTTGTGAATGTGAGGCAGCACTAGCAATAACTTAATTAAGAAAATCTCAACATTCATGTCAGTTTTATTGTGAATGTGTGTGTAATCTATGAACCCGTTTTTGCCAAATAAGACGTGCTAGTCCTTTGTTCTCTGCACTCCAAACCTGGGTTTGGTGGATATCTTTAGACTCGTGCTGCTGAAGGCCTGGATGTAACTGGCTGACAGATTTCTGCTGAAGCTGCGTCTCTCAGCGGTTTCTTGCTGCGTCGTCCTCTGTTATCTTCCTCTTTGCTTAGTTTTTGCTGTTCGTTCTGTCTGTCTTTGCATTGTGCTCTCTTCCTTCCTTTTCATGTCTCTCCTACCTCTTGTTTCTTTGAACTGTTTGTTTTGTCAACCACAGCGATGGAGGGCGGCAGCATGACACCACACGACTGTGTGCTTTTTTCTTTGTCACATTCCTCTGCG